CCCCAAAACCCCAAAACCCCAAAACCCCAAAACCCCAAAACCCCAAAACCCCAAGAAATTTTTTAAATTGAAATAAAACTATAAAATTTAACTAAAATACCAATATGTTGAGGGACGAGAAACTTGCTTATCAAGATGAGCTTGAGAAGTATATGGAAGAGAATGAGATCTATGAAATCTTTGAGACAATGATGAAGACGCTGATCATTAGCAAGCCAGATGACCCCATCCCTCACTTACTGGACACACTTCAAAAACCTCAGACCAAAAGAATTTTTATCATGGGGCCTCCTGGGAGTAAGAGGAAGGAACACATTCTCACCCTTGCTGATAACTTCGAAGATTTTAAATATGAAGCGATTTGTGTTGGTGACCTACTGAATAAGGAAATCACTAAGAAAAGTGACATGGGAAAGAAAATAGTCGCAGCCAGGAAGACTTATTCTTATCCAGAAGATGACATTGTCATTGAAATTGTCACTAAGAGCATTGAGCAGTTAGAGAAAGAGAAGAGAAATTGGATTATTGAAGGATTTCCTAGGACTCGTAAGCAAGCTCTAGCTCTAACAGAGATGGGCTTTATTCCAGATAGAATGATCTTACTTGATGTTAAAGATGAGTTAACAAAGGAGAGAATCAAGCAGAACTTGACGAGTGAAGAAGCAATAGTTGAGGTAGATCCTGAGAAAATTCCTTCTATTTCTCAGGATGCTCTTGAAGAATACCAAACCCATATTGAAGGAGTTAAAGAAATCTACAAAGGAATTATCTGCTGTGTAGACGGAAACCAAAAACAGGATATTGTGCTTCAAGAGATTGCTAGAACTCTCAAGCTTAAGATTGTGAATACCCCTAAGAGAGCACCTAAAATTATACTTTTTGGAGTCCCAGGAAGTGGTGTGTCTACTCAAGCAGAGAAAATTTCTAAAAAATTTAATGTTATTCATATTCAAGTCAACAGTTTACTCAAGAGTAAAGTAGAAAATTATTGGGAAACTACAAAGAAAGGAGATCCCATTCCAGACAAGGTTGTTTTGGAAATAGTCAGAGAAAGACTTGAAATGACTGATGCTAAAATAAATGGATTTGTATTGGATGGCTTCCCACTTAATAGCAATCAGATGTCTTTCTTAATTAATGATTGGGGAATCAAGCCTTCACAACTAATATTTTTAGAGGTGAGCGATCACAAGGCTTATGAGAGATTAGAAGATCAAATGTTTGACCCAGTCACGGGAATATCATATAGCATTACATCCAACCTCCCAGAAGACGAGACTATCCTAAAAAGACTCATGCGCTCCCCCGAAAACGAGCATCACGTTCTCAAAAAGTCCATAAAAAGGTACAAAGAATTCATCCTTGAGCTCCAAGACACTAAGGGTCTCTCCAAGACCACCATCAACGGCGAAAACGACCCTTGCACCGTCTTCAAAGACATCTGATCCGAAATAGATTCCTAAAATTCCTATTCAGCCCAAATTCAATAATTCAAAATTACAAAGGGGTTTTGGGGTTTTGGGGTTTTGGGG